CCCTCGTGGAGTAAATCAATATTGGGTTGTCAGAAAAGTCATGACTTTTTTCTATGTTTTTCTATGAAAAAATGTGTCATGACTTTTCCAACAGCCCAGTAATTAAATAAATTTTAAAAAATAAAGTAACTAATATACAATATAATTTATACAAAGAACTTATTCAATTAAAATATAATTAAGTTAATACATAGAGTAAAGTAATACATAAAATGTATATATCATTTATGAGTTTATAAATTCCATCTTGTAAATTCCATATTTAGATGCATGTATTTATTGAAATAAGTACACTTTTTGTATCCTAAATTTTATTTCAATATAGGGACCACGAGGACTGCAAGGTGATGCTGGACCTCCTGGAGAAATGGGTATTGAGGTAATTTTTGTGGCTTACTTTTGTTCATCAATACATGATACTATTTATAGGATTCTATGATAAAGTTAACATATTAGGTATATTTTACAAAGTATAATTCTATTGTTTTATTTCATAACCAGAAATTAAAGCCTTAAATTTCATTAAAAGCAGGGATAATTTTTGTATGAATCTAATTTCATGCATATAAACTTCTTCCTAACAACTCACTGAAATGACAAAAAGAAGATAGAACTTTCTCTTCACTGATTTAGTTCATTGGTAGCCCTTCCTTCCTAGAGATATATCTCCTTTATAGAGGAATATTGAGACAGGCTCCTATTTAGGATCTATTTTGGAAAAATAAACCACATTGTTATGATTATAAGAGCCAATTACTTTATTTCCATTGTTAACTTAGCACGAAATAAACTAAACAAATTCTCTCCTCTGGCTTGTGCGAAATTGCTTTCTCTTGGTTCTCTTCTTTCTCATTGGCCTTTCTCAGTCTTGACATGAAGCCTTTCTGCTTCCCCAGTTTAACAATTCTGTTATCACAACAACTTTAGTTACCTATAATATCTGATAGTTATCAGCTTGATAGCTCTAATTCATGCCTCTTTCCTCAGCCTGTTACAGATTTCCTATGGTCTTTTATGTATCTCTGGATATACCACAAACATCTCAAATCTAAAATATCTAAACCAAGCCCATCATTTCCCAGTATTTTTCCTCTTTGTATTCCCATTTTGATGAAAGACACCCCTTATACCCAATAACCCGAAACCGAGAGTCGTTGTAGACCCCTCCTACTTCCTCATCTTGTCTAAACAGGTATTCTTTCCCCTTGAAAAAGCATCTCCCTTCCCAGTGTCTCCTAAATCTTTCCTTTCCTCTCATCTTGGTTAATATTTTAGTCCTTCACTCTTATGACTTGTTACCTCCAGTTCCCATCATTCCATCAGCTACTAGTTATCAGTATCTTTCTTATATCATTTATCTCCTCGAATTTCAAGAACTCTCATGTCTTTTAAAATAAAATAACTTCTTTAGATCTGTTCAACTCTATCTCCAATGAAACGTTTCTCTTTACTTAGGTGCTGCAGATTTATCAACGTATTTTTCATTACTTGATTCCATGCTTTCTCATTGAATACAGGATGACTAAAATAAGGTTTCTGGCTTATTTAGGAGTTTATCATCTATTCTAGAATATATCCCTAATTTATCAATGTATTTTTCATTACTTGATGATTCCATGCTTTCTCATTGAATACTGTGTATCTCCTGGAGGATACAGGATGACTAAAATAAGGTTTCTGGCTTATTTAGGAGTTTATCATCTATTCTAGAATATATCCCTATGAAAGAGCCCTATAGGGACCAGCAGTTGGCATAATGGCTATGTTGCTGGATTCCCATGTAGTCGACCATAGTTCGAGTCCCGGACCCGGTGGCTTAAACTCATGCTGGGCGCGTGTGCATGCGTGCGCAAGATCCTGAGAGGAGAATGGAGAAGAAGGGATTGCGCCCTATAGCAAAAACCTCTCCAAAAAAGAAAAAGAAAAACAAGAAAGGGATAGCAGAGACCCTCTGCTTGGTACACAGATCTTACACTTGAGTTATTATTAAAAATAACTGCCATCTTCTTACAAGTGTTACAATCTTTGTAATGTATCAAATCATTCTCTCATAGGGACTTCCAGGGATTGAGGGAGAATCTGGTCTGCAAGGCGAGCCGGGTGCAAAGGTAACATTCCTAATAAGAAAGCAGAGGGTGTCTAAACGTCCACCTTTGTGTCCTTACATTTGCCTACATTTGGCGAATACCCACCTTCTTGAAAACATATAAAAGCCAGCAGATAAAAACACTAAGGGCTCTGTAACTCTTTAACTTTAATGTGTCCTCCATAATTAGACATGCACTTTTTAAAAAAAGAGTTTAATCTTTCCCTTTGTTTTTGCAGGGAGACACTGGGCCTGCGGGCAGTGTTGGAGACGCTGGGGAGCCAGGGTTGCGGGTAAGTGTTCCCTGGAAACCTTTTAATACATTGACATGCTTATTTCAGAGACCCATGCTTATCCTAACCCTCAAAAAAATCATAATAAACATTTTTAATGCATTATAGAAAAGGTTTGTCTTAAGTTATGATTTCAAAAGCTCATTGCCAAACTCTGTTCATATTCTAATTGAGTAGCATTTAGAGTTCTAACCTCATATGTCCTTTTCTCAAAAGCAAGTGTACTCTGCCAAACTCTTGCCAAAATGTGGATTTACTGTAATCATTCCTAATGTCAGCATTAAGAAGACATTTGCAATATCAGTGATCAGCTCTCGGAATATTTCCTGACTTGACAACAAAAACAAAAGATTGAAATCTAATTTACATCTAAAAAAAGAAAATCCTAGCATCATGCAATGTTAACAAGATTCAAGGATAATTGTAAATCATCATAATTCGATAGCTTCAAGAAGTTATACTAACACAACCAGCCTTTATTTTGAAATGTGACAAGGAGTTTTCATTGAGATAACAGTGGCAAAGATCATTTTAAAAGGTATTTGTCTGCAAAAGGCAAGGCAGATACATTTTTACATCTCATTTTTCTTTATTAGGGGATGCGAGTGAAGGTGAGGGTAGTGAACGTGTCAGTGATAAAGAGAAGAGCAACTATGACTAAACATTAATTACTATACTTTTAAGTCATTTAGGTAGCATGAGAGCTAATACTACTTTAAAATCTTTAAAAAGTCTGGTTTTACATTCCTACCAGTTCCATATCTAGAAGACAGCTTCTGGATAAACCAGGATCTTGATTGTTGCCTCTCTAATTATCAGGTAGAGTGATCATAACTGAGTCAAGGTGTATTAACCCATGAAGATTCAGTAGAACACATTACTATAATTCTGTGAGATTCAGTATTACATTCCTTGAATTCAGAAACTCAAGTCTAGCTGTATGACTTTCCAGAGCTACCACATAAGTATGAATAGCTTCAATTACCTGAAATTTATTAAGATTCTGGAGCCACCTTATATTTGAATCTATAACATTCTGATTCTTTAAATCCTCTACAGAGCTCTTCAGGTCCAATTAACTCATGTTCATTTTATTGTTGAATGCCTTTAAAAACAGAGTAGAAGTAGAAAAGTGAACACAAAACAGCTACTTTCTATACATGCCAGGGACAAAAGATAAAATACAATAAATAATATAGCAAAAACATTCATCTTAGTGTTTCTGCTACCAAACAGGGTGAACCAGGAGCTCCTGGAGAAGAAGGACTCCAAGGAAAAGATGGATTAAAGGTAAATTATACTTCTAACATTATGTATAAAATAGATGTTTTGAGCAATCTTTAAAATATTAGGTATAGTTATAAATAAAAACCCGGCTACTGTTGGCAAAATTGTTTCACTGTATTCCTTTTGCTAAAACATTGTATTGGATTACAGGGGACCTTGGGAGAAAGGGGACTTCCTGGAGAAGATGGAGAAAAAGGAGAGATGGGCTTAGCAGGAACTATAGGGCCCTTGGGTAGACCAGGTCGGATGGGCCTTCCAGTGAGTACTACTGCTATTTTCAAATATTCAGTGAACTCAGTGCCCATAAGTAGACACACAGAAATACACACACACACACACTCACACACACATGCACACACACACACGTGTACACACATGCACACCCTGACCCAGTGACACTCCCCTCCCCATCTATATCTTGGATAATTATAAGAATGGTATGAAAGAGGGACAAATCAGGGACTGATTATCAGTTTTTCTAAGATCCAAAGAAGGAAGACACTTTTTCTGTATGTCTTTTAGATACTTTTTCCATAAGCCATGGGTCTTTTGTTGTAAAGCACCTGTAGGGGAATGTTTTATGTTGTCTCAAACTTGGTTTGATTGAATATTTCTTTATCTTCATTTATAGAACTTTCATTATTAATAACCTAGCTCTGGGATGAAATAAGACATCTTTTACAAGCACAATATAAGCTATCACTAGGTAATCCTAAATTGTAGTATTACTTCAATAGAAATTCTAAATGACATATTGATGAAATTATCACACTTAAAGGCAAATTTGAGATGAGAGTAAATAATGAAAAAATAGTGTCTCTCTAGCTTCTGTGTATAACTCATGATATTTGTTATACTCTTCTAGACGTGGCCCTTCCAGTGATTTTACTGGGCCTCTCCCCTCTTTATTCATGATAGAGCACATGCATGTGCACGTGAGAATGTGAAAGAGAAGCATCCACAGGGTCTGGTTATAACTCAGCAGTCCTCGTCCTTCAGTTTTCCAGCCCATTGGGTTGTGGGTACTCTTTTGCGTGCCCAGCGTGTTTCAGATTGATGGGGCCAGGGATCCAAGCCACAGTCCCTGTGTGGGATCCAGCTGCTCTGGGATCCACTGTGCCACAGAGCCAGCTCCTCATTTTGCTGTTTTAATTTACTTTCTTCTTTGTCTCATACCTTTAAACATGAATTCTCCCCAAAATTCTTCTTTCTTTACTTCACGGGTATTCTTATTTTTGGAGACATTATCCTATCATGGGATTCATCACTTATGACCCTACTAGACAATAATTTCTCTTTCCTTTGGTCTCTGGTAGTTTTACTCAGCCTTTTTAAAATTGCAGGTTAATTTTAAGGTTTTCAAGAACTGAAGCCTTTTCTTTACTCCTTCCCATGAACCAATGTGTTTCAGTGCTCCAGTATTCCCACGTGGGGGCTCTGTAAAGACTGAGCAACTAATCACCAGTAAGCTGATCATGCAGGAAGGGTAGGAGACGAAGTAGTGATTTGGATTTTGCTATCCTCGTAGCTCTTTTATATGCATCTGTTCTGCCAGCTTGTAACCATTGAATGTCTTATATGTGATAGCTCCTTCCCCAGGCAACTCAAGTTTGTATGACCAAGAAGAAAGCTCTGTCTGGAAGGATGCAACAAATAATTATAAGTGAAGCACAAACTGGACATCTCACCATTCTCATTCACCCATGACTACAGTTCCTGTAGCAGTGGTTAAAATAATGTTACAACACATCATTCCAAAATAATAGAAAATTACACTAACATGTTTCAAAGGGACATTTGAAGAATGAGGATGAAGCAGAAGTATCACCTGTTTTTATGTGTTGGCAAAACTGAGTCTTTTTTTTACCCTCTAGTGTTATAGCAGTAGCAAGGTGTCCACTTCCTTAGACATGCCTTCTCAGTTCTACAAAACTGTGATGGATATTCCACCATAGCAAACACAAAGCATTACTGAATCCTCTCTGAAACTAGCTTAAATGTCCTTGGTCCAGATGCAGAGTGATATAATTTCACAGAATTTTTCCTAAAGATGTTTTATTCCCATTTCACAACTGAAAAAACTCAGAGACAGCTAAAAGATAAGCTTATTGGAGATAAGCTGCTATAGTTCTTCAACAGACTCCTAAGAGTTGATGTGGAGGGGGAACACAAAACTAAGAAAAAGGAAGGCCTAAACGTCCAATAGAATAATGCAGCTGGAATTCAATTCCCAGAGAGAGATGACACAGCATGACAGTGGTGATGGGCAGAACAGAGATGAAAAAGGGACTGAAAACAAGGCATGGAAAAATGATAAACACAGAGCTCATTTGTTTCATAATTTTTCCCATGGATAACCCTGCCTAGTACACATCTTTGGTGCCTTTTTTAGTAACAACACATGTGTGTTTCTTTTTTATCCTTCTTGTTGTTCTCCTTGGAATTTTAAATGCCTTTCAGCTTATAAACTCAATAAAAATACCATGGCATATTTTTTCAAAAGAATTTTATGATCCAAGGAACTATTGCTTAATCAGACAGCCTGATGTTAGATTTATTTTTGCACTTTAAAAATTCTTCCTTAAGCAATGTGACAAAGATGCTACTCCGGATTCTTAAAAAATAAATAAGAAAGATAGTAAAAGAAAGAAATAACTGCCCTCCCCCAACATACACACTTTTTTTTTCTAGAAAAAAGAATCTCTCCTTTCTTCCTAGAATATTAGGCAATGGAAGCATCGGTAACAGATCCCAAGTCTAAGATATATACTTGCTTGAACAGAAGAAAAACATGTATATTTTATGCTTGAATTCTATGCTAAAACATTTAGTTCTCTAAATAGATAATGTTGTATGCAAAAAGAGCTGGGAAGCATCTGAAATGAAACATCTGCCAAACTTGTGGTCTGTCATCCATTCCTTAAAAAGTCTACCACTGTGGTATCTTAAGATCTAAACAGATGTGAAGCTATGAACTCCAAAGCTGAATGTATTAAAATGAAATTATCTTGTTTTATTCCTTTAGGACAAAATTTGGTTGGACTTATTGAAATGTGGTTTTTCTGATCTAAGATAGTATAATCTGACATAGAAGTAAATATCTTAATAGAAGATGAAATGAAATAAAAACACCCTTCTCTAAGAAACTTTTTTTTGACGTTCTTAAAAGTGAACTCATAAAGATTATAAGATTATCAATAGTTGGAAAGACTGATAAATATACATGACTATTATTTCAGAGAAACTTTCATTGGAAACCCTGAGAAAAAGTGATGTGGGAATTTGGAGATTAAGTGGCATAAAGTGGCATTAAAGAGTAAAGGATTACCTAAATAGTTATTGTCTGGATGATTTCTGTGACTCTGGGTGTTAGGCTTATTTGCTTTGAACTGTTTCATCATAAAGCAACACAGAAATAGAAAACGTACACTGTGCCACCACTGTTGAAACCCCTGTTCTCCTATTAAAGAATTGGACATTTTGGGGTCACTCATTCTTTGGCTTCTTCATCAACACATTACACATAATAAAGGAGGTGGAGCTGAACGGAACCCCTCGAGATGGTTGGATGCTAAATTAATAGGATTCTGTTCCTTCTATTCTTGCCTCAATCAGGTCTTTATATGATTGTTTAATGAATTAGCTTCTGTATTGTTTTTCTTTGAAACAGAAGTTTCTATGGCTTTAGAAAATTTTAGTTTAGATTTTCTAAGTTTTCATTCACCCTTACAGACTGTGATGCTATAAAATGTATTTGTCCATTCATTAACTGTGAGAAATGCACTCACTCATCCAGTGCTAAAGAATGGACATGGAAACATGAGGTATGGAGAAGCAAGACTTTAATGACAGTCTCACAAGATTGGGTGTCTGATGGGCAGGCATGCCTGGAATGGTTATAACAAGCACTTTATTCCCTAGCACTCTTGTCCCTCTCTCAATTACTCTTTGACTGAGTACTATGGATTGCACAATCTTCCCAGAGTTGCCTAAATTTTATTATTCCTTTATAAGGCATTTATTGTCCCTTCCCCTCTCTTGTCTGATGGAAAGGCATAGACTCAGGACAAGCCTGTGAAAAAGGCCTGACAAATGACCTGAGGAAAAAGAACCAGGAAGTAAAGAGGAATAAAGGGCAGATGACCAGCCACCATCTTGAGAAGTCATTTCTCAAGGGCAACCTGTTATTTTTGAGTTCTGTTTGTTCAGGAACTTTCCAGGAATATGTCCTTTCTGGGGTTGTCTAATCTGTAAGCTGGTTAAGCAACTTTTGTTATTCTATTCTTGAAAATGAATCACTTAGACTGTTTTCTTACATTAACTCTGAGTACCCTTTATGGGTCAAGAACTCTGCTAAACATTAGGGATTCAGTGAAGAACAAGACTAGCAAAGTCCCTGATCTTAGGCCTTATCATCTGGTGGAGAAGACTAACTAGATTAAAGATCATTGCAGATTGTGGCAATGTGATGATGGAAATAAAGTGATGGATGACAGTAACAGATTAAAGGTAGGAAAGCCGGCTGATTAAGGCTAGAGAAGCCTATTTCAGCTAAAGTGGTGAGGGAAGCCTTCATGATGGATGACAATAACAGATTAAAGGTAGGAAAACCGGCTGATTAAGGCTAGAGAAGACTATTTCAGCTAAAGTGGTGAGGGAAGCCTTCCCTGACTAGAGGATTACATTGAAACAAAACAAAACCTTCCCTGCAAAGAATCATGGGAAGATTCTTCAAGGTAAATACAGCAGCAAGAGCCAAGATGTAGAGGTAAGATTGAGCTAGTTTTAGAAAACCAAAAGGAATCTGTTGCAGCTACAGCACAGTTAGTATTAAAATTTGTTTAAGATGAGATTGAAGAAATAGGTAAGAAGTAGATCATGAAGGACTTTCTAAGCAATGGTAAAAAGCTTGGGGGTTTTATTAACGGTGTGGTTAAAAAAAAAAAAAAAAAAAAAAGCATAAAAATATCCAGCAGGAGAGGAACATTAGTCTCTGAAGGGAATCATTGTAATTTCCAAAATTTGTTTAACAATATCTAGTGTTACTGGCTGTCTCAAGGAATTGAATAAACTACAGGAAAAATAACAAAATAAATTTGAATTACAAAAGCAGATAATGTGCCATGACAAGTCAATGAAGGAAAGAATGGTGTTTTTGACAAATGGAACTAGAAAACTGGGTACAAAAGAATAAAATTGGACCCTTCCTTTATAATATATACAAAAATTAACTCAAATGGGTCAAAGACTTAAATATA